GGGGGAGGGCTTGGGGAGGGGGGGGAACTAGGGGGGCCTGGTTCTGAGGCAGGAGTGAGTGCACTGGGATGGGGAGACTGGGGAGGGGTGGGTGCACTGGCGGTTAGTGTGCAGTCCCAAACTGGAAGGAGTGGTGCAACTTTGGCTCCCACCTCCTCTTTTTTTTTTTTTTTTGTGCTCCAGAACCGGGTCCGGCGGGGGGGTAATCATACAAATTCATTTAGCATTTTAGGGGGTTGCGGTATCACTAAGTTTGAGAACCCTGGGTTAAGGGATGGTTCAAAATAGTGCATTATTTCAAAATTTGGTGTTGTGTAGATGCGCCAAATTTCAATTTAATAAGCTATTTCAAATTAGATTTGAGATAAGATACGCAATTTGCTATGCAAATTGCATATCTTACTTTGAGTTTAGGGTGCTAGGTATATTTACCCTAAGTCTCATTCATGGGTATGCAGCTTACATTCTGTATTTAAGATCAGAATCCATATTCTGCCATAACAAGGGGAGAGCACTAAGGACTCTTTCGCAAATAAAGCTGTTAAGAGAAATGTTAACTTTTGTAAACAGTATATAACTGCTGTAACTGGGCACATGGGAAAGATGTGTCACATTTACTCCTAATATTTAATCTGTTCATCTAAAACTAGTTTATATCATTTTGATGTCAGCATAGTTGATCTAGTAAAACAAACTAATGAAAATACTTACTGAATAGACTTTTCAGACAATTTTTGTTTTGAGTCACAGCACCCTTGAAAAATTTTGACACTGACAGTCCAAAGAAGCATTTCAACTTACAGAACTAAAACTTAATAATCACTGGCCATTTTATGCTGACTTTACATTTCACTGTCACTTTTTCCAGTGACCTAAGCCAGTATTAGGATATTAAATCCATTGAGTTTAGATTTACAAATATTAAAAAGGCATCTCTCAAATGTTAACAATTCAATAAAAATCAGGGTAGCCAGAAACTATGCCTGCCATAAGCAAAGCAATTTAAGCTACAGACAAATGTTTATGAAATTCTATTTTCTCTCATGGAAGTGAAGTTTCAAGCAGTATATTTTCTTCACACAGCTGAAAGCAGCCATCTGGAAGATCCTGTGCTTTACAGAAAGGGGTCTATAATATCACTGCAGGTAAAGTCAACTTGCAACACTGTAAACAGATAAAGACAAGTTATTAATGGGATAATATCCAGTGTAAACAAAACTATGAAAAATGTATTAAATCAGCTGTTTAAGTCATAGTGAAGAGGAAACATATATCTAAGTATCCAAGCTTATACTGTTTTAACAGTTGTGATTTTGAAGTAACTGATCCAGGGGAATAGCTGATCTTAAGTTTTCATCTTGTTGTATTTTTATAATTTTTATTAATTTTATTGTCCTGTATAGATTTTAACACCATATGTATTGTATTATGCTCTATGGCAGCGTTTCCCAAACTATGGGCTGCGGCCCGTTACCGGGCCACGGGAAAAAAATACTGGGCCTCAGTGTGGCTGCCGGGAGGGGAGCAGAGCAGGACAGGCTGGGAGGAGGTGTGTCTGT